CAGACCTCTACAATAACCTCGTGCATAACTCCCGCGTTCTAACATCGCCATTTGATGTTTATGCCACCTTACGCCACATCTTGTCATACCCACAATACCCCAGCGAGATTATAACCGGTCAAAGCTTGTTTACCCGGATTGACGAGAGAAATCGCACTTGTGCTAGCGCTGGCGTAGAAGATCATTGGTGTCCATGCCTTGATTTGGAACCCGTGTCAATTGATGAGCCGGCAGTTAAAAAATCAGCGGCAGCTGTACTAGAATATATCAACAATCTGACGTCACAAGGTGATGAACTATCAAAGTTGTGTCAGCGGTTGATTTTGAAGGAGATAAAGACCGCGTTCCGTGAGATGCCAAAAGAAGCCATGCAAAGGTTTCAAGACACGAAGCACGGCACAACTGATGCGTGCGACAATTGTGAAATAGTTTTGGGAGATAAAGCGGAGAACACTCTTGTTAGAGACACATTGTATCAGCTTCAGATTCTTACATCTCCGAATGAGGGATTTTATGAGGCCTCTGTTAAAATGAACAACGGTGTTCCTTCAATTGTAGGGGACCTCAGTCGAATTGACGCTTACAAAGACCAGCCATATTGTATAATGGAAACCTATCCTCTTTTACGAAAATTTTGTTATTGTTCACCGAAATCTTTTGCCCAAAAACAATGAAAAACTTCTTTTTCACTTTTGTTCAAAACCCACGCCATGGGGTGCTAAAGCTCCATCGCAAGAAATTGAATGTCATCACTGGACTCGGATTAAAAACTATGCGACAGTAGATGAGCTTATCTTTTGTAGCGGGTAAGCACTGCGTTTAAAGTTTATTATTTCAGATGGTGTAATTTATGATGAATATGAACATTTATACTTACTTACTAGCTCAGATCGTGGGAGGCGCGTTGGCCTCATGGTTAGTGCGCTCGTTTCCGGATCAAGCGGTCCGGGTTCGAGCCCCGGCCGGGGACATTGTGTTCTGTTCTTTGGCAAGACACTTTACTCTCACAGTGCCTTTCTCCACCCAGGTACACCTGCGCGTGAAACAAGTTGTTCGAAAGTTAGGCAAACTTCTGTTTTCAGGTTACTTTCCATAGATTCAGCCATTTTGTAGATTGAGCAACACTCAAACATTCGCGACCAGAGATTGTTGGCAAGGCCGACTTACAAATCGCTCTTGGCTCCGCACATCGCTTTCCAAGCGCTTTTTCAACTCTTTCTTAAACCGTGCGTTTTCTTTCGGCTTCCTACTGAAGTTTTCGAGCCACGTTTCTCATCTCCATCGGGCAGAGGCTCGTCTGCGTACGCCGTACCAGCGAATCGTTTCTTATTTTTGGATTCAGAAGCACACACGATCCTCCATTCACGACATTTTACACATACAAATAGGAAATAACGTTCGATTGCTCGCCTTTTATCAGTCGCATTGTAAGCCCGTCAAGCTTTCGGATCAGAGGCGAAGGTATACTAAAGAAATTTAAAAGGTAAAAAACGCGGTGGCCTCATGGTTAGTGCGCTCGTCTGCGGAGTGAGCGGTCCGGCCGGGGTTGAGTTCTGGCCAGAACATTGTGTTGTGTTCTTAGGCAACACAATTTACTCACACAGTGCCTCTCTCCACCCAGGTGTTTAAATGAGTACTGGCGAATTTAATGCTGAGGGTAACCCTGCGATGGACTAGTATCCTATCCAGGGGGGAGTAGAAATACTCCTAGTCGCTTCATGCTACAGAAACTGAGATAAGCTCCGGCCTG